CCTCCATAGGGAGCCCCACCGAAGGCCCCATTGGGGGGGTCGCGTGCGTTTCCCCCACCCAAGACAACGCTTCGTGGCCCCATAGGGAGTTCCACCGCAGGCCCCGGTGGGGGGGTCGCAGTACTCGTGTAAACTTCTCGCCTCGAAGAGTGCGAGACGTTTACACGAGTAGGAGGCGGAGGAGGAAAAGGAGGAGGAGGAGGACGACGACGACGACGACGGCGACGGCGACACCACCACCACTGTGGCAGGCCCCTCACACAGCTCGTGGCCCCATAAGAAGCTCCACCGGGGACGATGTTCACAACTGCGGTACTCACAATTGCATATGGTTGGGTGCTTCGCCAGGGTTCTCCCATTGCTATGCAGGGAAGAAGCGAAGGACAAGCGCGAACAACAACGATTCTCCCATTCGTCCAAGTGGGCCGCGCAAGCGACAAAATGAAGGGGCTGCACGAAACGACCCTGAACAAAATCGGTGCCACGTGAAAGCAAAACAAATGTCGATGCCGCCGCTCTCGAAAAACCTCCAATTCGAAAAAGCGCCTCGCGCCTGAAGCTCGACCTACTTATTATTTTATGTATACATACATAATATTTCATCAAACTCAGATTGTACCCAAAAAGACAAGTGATATCCTGACGTCGGCAACTGAGCAGTAAATGGCAGCACATGTGTTCGTTCCTGCTTTGCTCCCGCTCGTGTATCTAGCTAGGCAGCTAGCTTCATCAACGCCGGGGAAATGAACGAAGCGCATCGCGTCCATTTCCGCTCAATCGTGGCACCAAAGAATACGACTTCGACCTATCGACGCGAGAGGCGAGCGAGGGCTGTTTCCTCGCCAGCGGCAGTCGCTGGGAAGCCAACGGCCGCGAGACCGGCGGCTCGTTGCCAAAAAAGTTGCGCGAATTTGCAATTTCCGCCTCAAGCCTCCCGCCCGAGGCAGAGATTGGCACTCGGAGATGACCCAAACGCCCCATTGGTGAGAGGTGCTGGCGGTATTCGCCAGGCACCAGCGGCGTGCTTAGGACAAGCGACCGCTAATCGGCAACCCATCTTGAGCCGTCCAATCGCATGCTCTAGGCGAGCGCAACAAAAAGGCGGGTACACCCTGCGAAATGCTTAAGAAATCATGGGTTAAGAAATTCATAGTCTCAGAAATTGAATGTAACCCATAACTTCTATCAAAATCTTGGGATTTACATTGAAAATTAAGAATAATCGAGACTCTGGACGAAAACTTAGGTTCTCTTAAGCATCGCCTAAGGTGTACACGGGCCCGTTGACGGGCGCCTGTTGCGGCCTCGCGCGTCGCACTTTTGGGGCCCCCGTAGGGCCAGGCTCAAGAGTTTTTTTGTTTTTTTGCGCTACGATGTGGCACACATCTCTGTACGGCACGCTTGCATGACTAATGGCCAGACGTTGCCAATAAAGGTGCCTGCTCACGATCAATAGGGCCCTTTCGCGTGTCCATCTGCAGTCAGAACACGTGTAGCACACCACTGGACACCATGTGTGGCGTTCCTGTCCATCATCTGTCGTATCCAACTGATACGACCAGCATGCTTGTTCAGGTCCTTGCAAGAGAAGGGGATGGGGACTTGAAGACATATTCGGCAATCGATGGTGAGATGTAGTTATCCCGATGCAGGGACCACCTCTCTCGAATAATTACGTTATTGGGGCTCTTTGGGGATCACATTGCTCTTATGTTGAATTCGCGCAAAGTGACGAACGTCGGGAAGCCGTCATGAAGGTCATGTCTCGCACCCAGCGCTTCCGAGGAATAACACGCAACTGAATTCGGTGCGACTTGCAATGTGCGCCCGCGGGGTGAATCACGGGTGTACCGTTGAGCACGCTGCCGCGCCGAAGCACGTCTGCCCCACGGATGTCGTGCCCTGTCTCTTCGTCGTCGGCATCGCCAATCAAACGTGGGCACCTGGAAACGGCAGGGTCGTCTTTTTCACCGTTTCCGACAAAATCTCTGGAACAAAGAAACGGCCAAAAAATACGACCGGAAACGGCTAAAAAACCACTCCAAGATTGGAACTGGAACCAGAACCGGTAAAAAACGGCGACACAACCGATATAAAAACGGCGTCAAAACTGGCAAGCAAAACGGAAAAACGGGACCGGTAAAAAAACTGTCCTGTCGATTCCAGGGCCCACTAAAACCCAAAGTCGCTGTCAATATCTACATCGTCCGTCGGTGCCATGGCTGGGTAAAACAGTTTCTTAGGACAAGATAGCATGCTTCCTGGTAGCCGCGCCCAATCTCTAGCCTTGACTGTTCTTTGTTTCCTGGACCAGCTGGAGGGAAACCACATATACCTTGAATTAAATTTGCGCGATCCAAGCGGCAGCTACGGCTCCCCGCAAGCTAATGAACACATCTGTCACTGTTTTCGTGGCCTTCTCCTCAAGTGCAGCTCCGTTTAGATCGGGGCGCTACATCGTCCGCAGCTGTCTGAGTTATTCGTCCTGATCCACGGTCACGCCACCATCCCAAAGTTTGGGGCCACGCACAGCAATTGTAGAATATGTGTGCGTGCGTTTGTTCAACTCACATGTCCTTTCAAGTCTTCAAACCTCGGCGATGATCAGAAAACTTCCAGCGCTGCCATCGGCTCCCATCTCCCATCCCCCGCCGCTCGGGCGCAATATTCCCTCCATATTGGCCCTCTTTCGGCAAATTAGGCCCAAGACGCCCACGATGGCCCAAAGAGGACCCTGACTAAGGCCCACCCAAGAGATACAAACCAATGGTGTTTCAACCCAGGTTTATCATGGTGTTAGTGCTTTCGCCATTTCGACCCTCAAACGCTCCAATGCGGCACAAGAGGCCCCAAAGATCGCCCCAAGACGGCCCAAGGGGCCAAACGAAGGCGGAACACGAACTACATTTCGAGCCCCCGCCCCTAGATCGCCAGCAGTCCCCAAGAGGCCCCAGGACGCTCCCAAGAGGCTCCCAGAAGGTCACATGAGGCCTTCTAAGGGAACCCCTAAGAGGCCCCAAAGAGGCCTTCGAGAGTAACCCCAAGAGACCTATGCTATGCATTCAAGAGGCCGCTGGTCCACCACCCAGGCAGGGTGGCGGGACGTCCACTAGATACAGGTGGCAGGGTGTTCTGTCGTTGTTCCAATCTCGAGGTGCTCTTCAAACCGTATCGTCGCCCTGCCCTCGTGCGCTCCTGGGCTCCTTCGAGGCCTCCCCGGGGCCTCATGATCTTCTTTCAGGGTCGGCGGAACTGGCTGTCAGGACTCCTAAATAAACGGTGGGTAAAGAAACGCACGCCTTTCCAACACCCTCTAGGCCAACGATTGTAGTCATGCAATCCTTGATCCCATCCCGTGCATTGCCCCGCCCCCCGCTACCAAACGCCCAACCACCTCCGTGACCGTGCGCTGTCCGTCTGGCTGCTACGGCTCTGACGACTCGACTCTGTTCCAAGGTCGCCAACCCTGGAACTCCGGACTACCTTCCCATGGGCGGGCCCCTTCATTATGATCGTGCGCGCCGAAGAGTGGGATCAAGAAGAGGAGGGCTAGCGCATCATAGCCCGAGGCACGGGCGCGGACAAGGGTGAACAAGGGACAGCATTGGAGGATGAAGATGGGGGGTCTGAAATCCACACACACACAGTGAGTCATCCCCCCCTCTGCCACGCCCCAGGATCCTGAGTCGTTAGTGTGGGCGGCCCTTGGGGACCCCCTCCATAAGAAGGCACAAAACACTGGGCATGTGCCATCCGGTCCCCTTCATTAATAAAGGCACCGTGTATTGAGCGGCCGCGGCCCGTGCGTACTAGAACACTTCGCACTCGCCGTCCAGAGCTCCCCACACCACTTTTCGCGAAGATACAGCGCGCCTTCTCCTCTGTCCATCTGCCCTCCTCCCCTCCTCCATCCGTCCCCTCCTCCGCTTCCTCCCATGCTCTTCCTGCTCCTGTTCCGGCTGGTCATGGTCCTCCACCTCCCCCTCCCCCCCCTGCTCCTCCTCCTCCCCCTCCCGCCCCTCCTCCTCCTCCCCCCCCTCCTCCTCCTCCTCCTCCTCCTCCTCCTCACCACCACCACCACCATCACACGCACTATCACTATTACCATCGCCTGCGCCCCTTGCCCTCCGCATAATGCCCGTCGCCAGCCAAGCCACAACAGCTCATGCAGCCGTCGTCCCGCCTCTCTCTGGTGGCGGGCGGCGACGGCGGCCGCGAGTAGTTGGAGTCGGCGGCGGCGTCCACAGACGTCCAACGGGTCGATGCGTTCAAGCGAAATGAAAGAAAGAACCAGCGGGGTCGAAACAGCCAAAAAGTGTCCGTCCGATGTTGGCGGGGCGCACAGGGGGATGTCGCGAGGGGGGGGGGGGCCTTCTGAGAAGGCGGGGGGGGGGTCGTGGACGGCGGGGGCCTCCCCAAAGGGCCAACGAGGCGTCTGACGGACCCTCCACAAGCCGGGAAGGGCCTCTCAGGGGCCACCCTGCCTGCTGAAGGGCCCCCCCCGCCTCGTTAGAGGGCCGCCACACTCGCGCCATCCACTTGTGAGGACAAAAATGACCCCGGGTGCGCTGCTTCAAGGGGGGAGGAAAGGGGGGCCGAATCTGGGCGCGCGCGCGCGTCCGTGCTTGGGGGGACCCCTGGCGGCCCGCGCCATGGGTCGCTTTGTCGAACGGGCCGTTCGTCTGCGTAGCCTAGGGCTCCCAACTTCGCGCTTCGCGCTGCGCGAAGCGCGAATAACTTCGCGCTCTCGCGCCGCCCTCCCAAAGGGAGAATAGGAGGACGAGGAGGAGGGGGAGAAGGAACGAGGACCGCGAAGCGCGAAGCGCGAATAACTTCGCGCCCTCGAGGGAGCCCTTGCGTAGCCGAAGTGGCGGCGGCCGGCGGGGGGGCGGCGGCCTGGGGCACGGCGAGGCTCGGCGGCGGTGCCGCGGCGAGCTGGGCCGCGCCGCACGGGGCGCCGCCGCCTGCCGCAGGGGCGGGGGGGGCAGGCCGGCCGCGGCCCGCCGACGGCCGACGGCGCTCGCCGCTGCCGGGCGGCGACGGAAGCCGGGACGACGACGAGGCGGACGGCGACGGCGGCGAGCACGACGGCGGCGACGACGAGGACGACGTCGGCGAGGGCAGCGGCGGCGACGACGGCGGCGAGGGCGGCGACGACGACGGCGAGGGCGGCGACGACGACGGCGAGGGCGGCGACGACGACGGCGACAACGGCGTGGACGGCGAGGGCGGCGGCGCCGACGACGACCGAGGGGAGGGACGGAAAACGGGGGAGGGGACAAGGCGGGGAGAGGTTGGACGAGGGGACAGGAAGCAGGGGATGCAACACGCGAGCTAATTAGCCTCTTCCTCGGACGGAACCACGTATGTCTGGCACGTCGTGCACAATCTGCTGTGGTCGCACTCCGCTCAAAATGTGCAAAAAAACCTGCACCACATGCACACGGCCGATCTCAGGCGCGAGCCGTGTTCACACATTCCATACAGATATCCAAGTAGTTTTCTATACATACGTATACATAAATGTATATATATATATATATAGCAACGATGCACCCGAACTGCGTTCCAAAAAGCGGTGGCGGGTGCGCGCGGAAGCGCGACTGGACCACGCAAAGCTCATGCACCCTGAGAGCTTCCCTAATTGTTGACTTCGGCACGGGCCCAATCAATGACAGAAAATGCATCATGCGGCTTCGACAAAACATTGGCTTGCGCGAGGAGCTGCCAGCTGGCAGTGAGTATGTGCAGTCCTCGCGTCGAGCTTGCCCAACCCTGTGGCAACTTTGCAAGCTCGAGTGCTTAGAACCGCTTCCTGGGGGACGGATAAGGGCCCTGCTCTTATCTGGCCACACGAACAATCATCTCCTCGCTGGGGACCGGCGCACGAAATTAGATCGATGGGGGAGGGGGGGGGATAATGCAGAGCCTGGGAGGGAGAGGAGGGCGAGGAGGATGATGGCGAGGGAGGGCGCGAGCAGGCAGGGGGAGGGCGAGGAAGAACTGGAGGCGAAGGAAGGCCGAGTGGCAGGGGGTAATAGGAGGGAGCGCGATTGTGATGAGATGGGGCACAGTCGGCGAGGGCGTGCGTGATTGCCAACGACGTCGATTCGGAATAAAAACTCGAAGCCCCCAAAGAAGCATCTTGACGACGACTCTATTTCGCCCCATCGAGAGACGACCCCCAGGGAACTGCTTCACCATCAAAACTCCCCACGCAACGCGTCCGAACGACACCCGCCCCCAAGAGCGCAACATGGGCAACGAACACACAGACAAAAACCAGCGATGCCATATCACGGGCCGGCGGAATGAGCGAAGCGATTCAATAAAAACTCGAAGAACCCTCCACAATGTAGGATTCTGCGCGCAGACTGGTCGCCACTGTGGCCCGGGCTCGTCGTCGCCCTCACGAGGGCGGCTAACGCCCAACGCGTCCTGACAGTGTCCTCGGGCAGCCTGATGGGCGCGGGCCGCAATGACGGCGCGAACGGATGACCGCTGCGCCGTCCAGCCCACGCGCAGTCAAGATCCCATCTTGGAGCTCGACGCGACGCGGCTTCTTGAGCCACTCTCAAACCTCTTCGACGCGGCCGAGACTCGCGCGGACGCACCGCCACTCAGCCCACGCGCCGCCCAAGCCCGCGCCACCAGCGAATGCCCCATCGCTGAGGAAATGCTGACGCTCGAAGGCGATGCGTGGCAGCTTCGCCGAGTAAGCTCGGCCTAGAGGCACGGGGCAAAATGGCCATGCTATCCTCGCCCTCGCCCTCCGCCCCCCCATCGCGGCATGTCCCGCCGTCGCCGCGGCGCCGCCCCCCTCCTCGTCAGTCGCGTCGCCCCCGCCGCCCCGCACTCCCACGCCCGCCCCTTCCATCTTCGCCCTCCCCCTCCCCCCTTCCCCCCCTTCCCACACCTCTCGACCGCCCTCCTCACCCGTGACCTCCTCGCCACCACCTCTGCGCGATTGCCGGGATCGGTTCGACGGGGCACCCGAGAAGCCGCCAGACCACGCGCGACGGGCGCCCCTGGGCTCGGCAGGGCCGCCGCACCTGCCCGTGCCGACCACGTCCCCCCACTCCATCTGCGCCCCCGCTGCGCTGCGGACGACCGGGGGTGCGCGGCGCGAGCTGCCCGCTGGAGGTGTGACCGCTAATCGGCGCTCCGCCGCGGACCCCCCGTCGGCGGGCCCCCCTCGCGCCCCCCCCCCGCTCGGACTCGCCGCGCCGCAGGAGCTCGACCGCCCGCGCATTAGCCTGGGCACCGCCCTTGTGAGCGCCGCGGTCGGTGGATCTCGGTGGATCTTCTCATGGGGCCACGAAGCGCGCGAAAGGCGTGCCGAAATGCGGCGGGGCCGCCACGCGGGCGATGCCACTGGGGCTTTAGGTGGGGCTTCCTATGGGGCCACGACGCGTGCGAGGAGTTCATGGATATGGAAAGGGAAACCGCACGCGGGCGTGGCCATTGGAGCTTTCGGTGGAGCCCTTGTTTGGGCCATGAAGCGTGCGAGGGGTGCACCGATTTAGGGGGTGGAACCACATGCGGGCGCTGCCGCTGCGGTCGTAGGTGGAGCTCCATATGAGGCCACGGAACGTGCGAGGGATTCGCCGACATGAAATGTGGAACCGCACGCGGGCGCTGCCATTGGGACCTGCGGTGGAGCTCACTATGGGGCCGCGAAACGTGTGAGGGGCGTGCCGAAATGCGTGGTGGAACTGCATGCGGGCGCTGCCCACTTGGGCCTTAGGTGGGATGTGTGCCGAAATTGGAGGTGGAAACGCATACGGGCTCCGCCATTGGGGCCTGCGGCGGAGCTCCCTATGGGGCCACGAACCGTGTGAGGGGTGTGCCAAGCGGGGGGCTGGGACCGCATGCGTGATCGGCGCCATCACCACCAGCACCATCATCATCGTCATCACCATCATGGTACGCACCATCCCTCTACGCATCAACCTCCACTACATCATCCTGCTGCCCCTCATCCTCCTACCTCGTCATCCTCCTCTCCCCTCCTCTCTTCCCTGGCCCGCCCCCCCTGCCACCGACACCCCGCCCCCTCCACCTCACCGTATCCAGAGGAATGGGGCTGGGCTGGGCCGGGGGTCCCTGCTCGGAGCGCTCGCCCTTCCGGGAATATCTGTCTCTCCCCCCCCCTTACCCTCCAAGCCCAAGTCTCGAACCTGCGTCGTGTGTCGTGGCCTTGACCTTGAACGGTGGGCCGCACAAGAACTCGGGACGCGGGGTGCTCTCCCAGCATCCCCCTTTCTGACGACCTACCAGACCACCCCAACCCAACCCGAAGACCCCAATTTCGGGTTGGGGGGGGTACGGGTTCCATATGTGTTTTTTCAATGTTCCCCGACCCCCCCCAACTGGAAATGGAGGGCAAATTGAGGCCTTCGGGTTGGGTTGGGGTGGTTTGGTGGGTGGTGACTTTCGCCCCACGATCTGTTGCGTGCACCAGGGACGGGGCGGAGCTGGTTGGGAGGGGGGGGCTGCGGCTCTGCTGCTTGTCGTCTCCCCCCCTGGGGGGGTGCCGCAGGGCGGAAGTGGCCCTGTCCGTCGTCGCGTGGCCTGGCACGTTGCCCCTCGGGCTCACACGCCCCCCGCGACGAGGCGGCCGCGCAAGAGGCTTCAAGCGCCTCCATCGGAGGGACTGAGCTTGCTCCCTCCCGCTCCCTCCCTCTCGCCCCCCACTACTTCCTCCCTTTTCTCTTGCCCTCTTCCCTCCTCTCTTCTCCCTCTTCCTTCTCCGCCTCCTCCTCCTCCTCTGTCTCCTCCTCTTCCTCCTCCTTCTCCTCCGCCTCCTCCTCCTCCTTCTCCTCCTTCTCCTCCTCCTCCTCCTCCTCCTGCTCCTCCCTCCCGAACTCCCGCATCATCACCGCTGACTCTTTTGCTGTGTCCTGGTGCCGTCGTGCTGCTGGCCCAGGTCCTCCTCCTCCTCCCGCTCCTCCTCCTCCTCCTCTTCCTCCTCCTCGTCCTCGTCCTCGTCCTCGTCCTCCTCCTCCACCTCATCCTCCTCCTTTCCTCCCTCCTCCTCCTCCTCCCTCTCCTCCGCATCTCTCCATCCGTCCTGTCCTCGTCATCGTCCTCCTCCTCCTCCTCTTCCTCGTCTTCCTCCTCCTCCTCCTCCTCTCTCCTCCTCCTCGCTCTCGTCCTCGTCCTCGTCCTCGTCCTCGTCCTCCTCCTCCTCCTCCTCCTCCTCCTCCTCCTCCTCCTCCCCAGAGATCTGCATCATCACGGCTGCTGTGTCCCTGTATCGTCGGGCCCCTGGCCCAAGACCAGAAGGGTGCAAAGCAGGGTGCCTCTGAATGCTCCCGCGCCTGGAGCCTGGAAGACGTTCGCGGGGGAGAGAGGTCCAGTCAAATGTTTTCCATTGCACATTGCTATACATGTAGAGGAAAAAGAACTATGCACATACCCCGATTCTGGCCAGGCCCATCCTGAGCCCAGGATCGGTGCATACGACCTCCTACCTTGGCCAGGAAGGCATATGCACCGATCCTGGGGCCCAGGATGTGCCTAGCCAGGACCGGTGCATGTGCATAGTCCTCTTCGCCCGAACATGGGAGAGAAGGCAGGAGACTGATGGGGACACACATCAGCGACCACTCATAACCCACCCACGCTGACACCACGGACGTGAAGTGAGACAGACAAGTCCTCGGGAGGAAGCGGGGAAGAGCGAGACAATGAAAGAAGAGGGATAACCAGGTGGGGAGAGGCGCCAAAGGAGGAAATCCCACATGCGTCTCGACGTGCTTTCAATAATACAGGAGCAAAGGCCCCAGGGGGGGGTGGTCGAGCACGGGCCGCTGGCGGGTCATTCAAACGGACAAATACGTCTGCATTTCGTACTAAATTTTAGCGTGCAAGCGTCAAGGGGGTCTAACACACGGCCGGCAAGTCCTTCACACATGCGCGCGGGCCGAGCCGACGGGTTGTGGATGAATGCCCTAGCGCGGAGGAGCTCCAAATCGAGAAGGAAACGGAACTCAAG